CTCAGAAGCATCAAAGCCCACATGGAAGTAGCACACCAGCCTGTGTGACCAAGAGGTGCAGAAGGGACCAGTTATCAGACATCAAAGAACTAAAAATCAGATCAGTGGGTGCTCACCTTTCAGCACATTTTTAATGCAGTTTTTGTGGTAAAATTAGGCACCTCAGCTGATATTTGGATCGGTTTATACTCGAGTATGTACAGTATGTACTTGCCATATTTCAAGGCAGGCATTGGATAGACAGGTTTGTGTTCTTTTACCAATGAGAGTGATAGAGAAGAAAGTGCCTTCCAGGAGCTTCTCAATAGCCAGTCTGGCGATCAAAGGCCTAAATATGCAATGTTGGGGTTACTATCTGTTGACACAACAAAAAAGCCAAGTTAAATGGCCCTTGTTATTGTTTTTGCTTGCTGCTGGGTTTATCCAAATTTAGGGATACTCCGTGTGGTCAGAGTAGAACTGCTCCAGAGATCTCAAGGCTGTGATCTTCAGAAGGTGGTATCTCTTGAAAGAAAGAAAGAGAGAGAGAGAGAGAGAGAGAGAGAGAGAGAGAGAGAGAAAGAAAGAAAGAAAGAAAGTAAAAAAACCCTAACTCATTGCCATTGAGTCCTTTGCAACTCCGTGTGGCCCTATAGGCACAGGAATACAGCTCCACAGGGCTCCCAAGGATGTAAATCTTTAAGAGAGCAGAAAACTTCCTCCTTCTCCCATGGGATGGCTGGTGGGGTTACACCACTGACTTTGAAGTTAGCAGCCTAATGTGTAACCCACTGTGCCACCAGGGTTCCTGTAGAGTATCTAGTTGGTTCCAAACTGCCAACCTTTTGGCTGGCACACAGATACTTAACCATTTGACTTGCCCAGGATTCCTAAATGATCTTTATCTATTGGGATCAAATACATAAGCTTGGCTTGGTTAATCTGCAACATTAATCAGTCAAGCAAATCTGCCCCAATGGTATTGAAATGAAGTTTATGGACAAATGAGGAAAGTTACTCAGGAAATCAGAATGGAGAATGCTCATTTGCACTTTTTTTTTTTATCATGCTGTTTGACAAATAATATATCAAGTTTTCCCCCTTTTCTGTGGGTATTTACATAGCCCCCACCCCACCCCCCACCCCACCCCACCCCCGTAATGCTGGCAACTCAGGAAGGAGCCCTGGGGGAGTCTGCCCTTTAAACCCTTGATCTTGGTCCCTCTTTTGTCACTTATTGCTGGGGGAGTTGCCAGGAGCACTTTGGATCTTGTGGGATACTGAAGAGAGACAGAGAGACAGAGAGAGAGACAGAGACAGAGAGAGCAAGGGCAGGAGTTTTGACATGATTTAAAAGGAAAACCAAAACCTATCTGGTTGGCTAGATTTTTCAGCTCAGTTAATTGTAGGACCCAGTTTTAGATGTTCTCTTAACTGTGCTCTTAAAAAAAGTTAAAAATAAACTTTAAAAATCCCACCATTATTTACACAAATAGCTAACTTCAATTTCGTTATAGTTTTCCTCAAGCAAAGAGCACAAAACAATTACTCAGAGGGATAATTATGGGGATAGGAGTCATTGAGGACCTGAGCCACCAGGAAGCCTTCCACCTCCAAATTCTCTCTGTCAGCCACAAAGCAATCTGCTCATGATTACCACACTCCAACAAAGAGCATGAAAAACCTAAAGTCAAGTTGAGAGAAGTGCTGAAAACCTCAATAATATAAGGTAGAGTCTAATTTTCATTTATGCATTTGTTTTTAAATATAATATATATCATTTAACATCCTGGTGACCCAATGATTAGAGCACTCACCTGTTAGATGTGGAAATCTTCCTCTGTAAAAATGTACAGAATTAGAAACCCTGTAGGGGCAGTTCTACTGTATTCTGTACTGTCACCAAGTGCCAAAAATCAACTCAAGGACAAATG